CCCAAGTCACTTGTATTTTTGTCTCCTCAATGTCATTAATTTCTAGATACTCTTGAACGATTTTATTATAATCGACTCTAATTGCCTACTCCTGATATGCAATCCTAGAATCCTAGAGCTGGAAGAGACCCCCAAGGGCCACCACACTCTGAGGCAGCCTACGCCACTCTCCAGGAAGTTCTTCCTAATCTTTTCAGTCGAATCTCTTTCTCCGCCACTTGAAACCATTGCTCCCTTGTGACCTGGTCTCTAGAGCAGTTTACAGTCAGTTTTCCCCCTTCTCCTCCTCAATGAGACACTCTTTTAAATCTTGAAACATGGTTCTCATGTTTCCTCTCAACCATCTCTTCTCCCATCTAAATATCTCCCAGGAGGAAAAGAGGAAGGAAAAAGAGAAGGGAGGGAGAGAAGGATGGATGGATGGATGGAAGGACGGATATATGGAAGGAAGGAAGGAAGGAAGGAAGGAAGGAAGGAAGGAAGGAAGGAAGAGAATAGAGTGAGAGAGGGAGGGAAGGAAGATAGAAGAAAAGAAAGAGAAAAGGGAGGGGGGAAGGGAAGGGAAGAAGGGTGAAAGAGAGGGAGGGAGAGAAAGAGGGAGGGAAGGAAGGAAAGAGAGAAGGAAGGATATAATGGGGGAGAGAGGAGGGCCTGAGAAAAGAGCCCAAGCTCCTGGGCCTGGGTTTGCTTTTACAGGGTAGGTTATAATAAGGACCATTGGAAACACCAACATACAAGCTGTACAATTGAGAGACCAATTACATGCCACATGCAATTGTGTCTGTCAGAATTATCACTCTTTTCTTTTCAACTGAAAAGCCATATCAAGAGCAAAAGTACACAATTTTTGCTCTTGATACCTGTGCCTGGAGGGATATTGTCTCTTTAGAAATTTGCTAGGCCCTCCAGGCAATTCTATGGTATACTTCCCCCAGAAATTATCATTTCTAGCACTCAAGAGTGTTGTATGCCAGGACCTGGAATTATGTTAGTCAATGGTGTTCAGTCATATTCATAGTTTCAGGTGGTGATGGTTTGGCCAGGAAGTGAGTCTTACTGTATTTTCTGTTCCTAGCTCAGCATTATTTAATGCAAGCATCATCTGCAGCTAATTTAATAACACCTGAAACTCCCATAGAGCAATTTCCAGAAATGAGTTAAGCTGTGTGTGACTAAATACTTCCTTTTATGTCTATCCTCAATTTACTCTCCGTCCATTTAATACAGTGATAATCTTCCATATTAGCATTGTTAGAGAGTATGAACAACCATGCCTAGAATTGCAGGTTTTATCAATTCCAGCAAGTTGCTATATTTTGAAAAGCGAAAAATGGGACACATTTACCAGTTGACAACATAGAATCATAGGATTGGAAAAGATCCCCAAGAGCCATCCCGTACAACTCCTTATCATGCAGGGAAAGCACAATTAAAACACTCCTGACAGATGGCCATCAAACCTCTGCTCATAAACCTCCAGAGAAGGAGACTCCATCACACTCCAAAGCAGCATATTCCACTGACAAACAACTCTTATTGTCAGGAAGTTAGGTGGAATATATTTTCCTGCCAATTGAATGCATTGCTCCATGTCGTAGTCTCCAGAGCAGCAGAAAACATTGTGGCATAATGTAAAATAAATCACGTGCATTTCACATCAGTCCACACACTGCCTTGAAAGAGAAAGAAAATATGCCACGCAGATGATCAATAAAGAACAAGTAGTTTACTCTTTGTAATTCAGAACAACATATTTACAATCATGTAATCAGTTGCATCGACTCACATAATGTCCCTTTATGAAAGATTTAAAATGGTCTTTATTTGTCCATGTGGAGAATCTTCCTCCAGCAGCTTTTGAAGCAAGAGTACTCTCGAACTCTGTCTCTCTCTGCTTCTCTCTGTGCTTCTCTGCAAGCACCTGCAGCCTGAAAAATGTAACAGTATCCAAAAGTCCAAGGCTCAGCCAGTTCCCCAAGTCTAGCCAACCAAATCAGCTTTGTGCATCTTAATTTACAGTTGATACTCACACACACACACACACACACACACACAAACTGATTTCTTACATGCTCCAACAAACGTGACAACCTTTCAAATATTTAAACATGGCTCCCATGTCTGGGTAAGCTAAACATACTCAGCTTCCTGTGCTGCTCCTCATAGGACTTCCAAAGCTTTGATCATTTTAGTTGGCCTTCTCTGCTCTTTGAGCCCCCCCCCCCCCGCGCTGCCCGTTCCCCATCTCTCTCTGAGTGCTCCAACATGACAACTTCCATCTCCTTTCTGAGCAGAGCTCTCAATGGACCTAGAAAGAAAGTGATGAGGAGGCAGTGGTTGTCAGTGGGGAGGGCTTGAAGCAGCTCCGGCCATTTAAAAATCAACCCAGACAATAATTTTAGCACTGAAAAGGAGGACATGTTTCCGAAAAGGAGTATATATAACAACTCTAGGATAGATTATTCAGCTAGAATTTGGGGAATCAAGTTTAGGCTCCCATTGATAACCACAAAACTTTCTTAGACAGTCACTTATTTCCAACCTCACAAGGTTTTTGTAGGGATAAATCATGTAACTGTGTAGGATAAATTTGAGCTCACTGGAGGAATGGCAGGATAAAGATCACACAACTATAAATATGCATACAGCGACAAAGCAAACAGAAAGAATGGCCTGCCCTGAGGCAGAGGGGGGGAAAGCAACCTCTCGCCTATGCATGTACTATTTTTGTCAGTCTTACCAAGAAATGATTGTAAAACAGTCATTGCACTGAGGAATTGTTTGAGTATGGGGTGTTGTATGGTTTCCGAGCCTCTATGGCCACGTTCTAGCTGCTAGAACGTACACAGCCATACAGCCCAAAAGCCACACAACACCCCAGTGATTCCAGCTGTGAAGGCCTTCGACATTGTTTGAGTATAGTCCAGAATGTTGATTCTGTTGAATTACTTCCTTGGAACAACGTATTGTCCCTTTTGCTGGCCACATTTCAAAGAAATAAGAGCAAGATGACCTGCTCAACTTGCAATGATTGGGAATCTGTTACCAAGTGCTATGTTAAATGGGTATTTTGTCAAAGGCTGTTCAAAAGCTCGTCCCAATGTCCTCTGTTGTGAGACTGTGGAACAGGAAGACGCATGCAGATGGAATGCAGTCAGGTGAGGACATGAGTAAAGAGAACCCTTTTTGGGCTGTGAAGTTCTATGGGAAGCCATGAATAAAGGCTTCTTTGAATCCCGTCACATTGAAGCATTAAAGACATGTTAGCACTCCATTCCCACAACAAATGTCTCACATTGATGTTAATATATTTGAAGTGTTTCAGCTGAACTAGGATTTTGGCTTAGTTCTCACTAATGGCACATTAGTGGAAAATTATCAGTACCAGATGAGAATGCATAATATTGAATGTACTGTTGGAAAACTGTAGCCAGGAAATGGTATACAGAACTTAATTGTGCATTGCAAACCAGGAAGCTCTTTCAATGGACATATCGTTGGCCTTCCTTATATCATCATTATCATCATCATCTATATTTATATACCGCTTTTCTCCCCTAAGGGAATTCAAAGTGGTTTCCGACATTATAAAGGCAAATTTCAATGCCGTACATACATGTGAAAACCAAAAGATAATAGCAAGACAGTAATATATAACTATAAATTAACCTAACCAAATTAAAACATAAACATAAAAGAACATTTAGACATAAAGCATAAAAGATTAATGACAGCTGCATCTATGGATTCAACCATCTATGGCAGTGTTTCTCAACCTTCTTAATGCAGCAACCCCTTAATCCAGTTCCTCATGTTGTGGTGACCCCCAACCATAACATTTTTTGTTGTTGCTACTACATAACCTTAATTTGGCTACTGTTATGTATTGTAATGTAAATATCTGATATGCAGGACACATTTTCATTCACTGGACCAAATTTGGCACAAATACCCAATATGCCCAAATTTGAATACTGGTGGGGTTGGGGAGGGGGAATTGATTTTGTCATTTGAGAGTTGTAGTTGCTGGGATTTATGGTTCACCTATAATCAAAGAACATTCTGAACCACACCAATGATAGAATTAGGCCAAACTTGGCATACAGAACTCCAATGGCTAACAGAAAATACTGGAAGGGTTTGGTGGGCACTGACCTTGAGTTCTGGAGTTGTAGTTCACCTACATCCAGAGAACATTGTGGACTCAAACAATGATGGATCTGGACCAAACTTGGCTCACAGACTCAATATGCCCAAATGTGAACACAGATGGAGTTTCGGGAAAATTGACCTTAACATTTGAGAGTTAGAATAGCTGGGATTTATAGTTCACCTACAATCAAAGAGCATTCTGAATGCCCCCAATGACAGAATTGGGCCAAACTTCCCACACAGAACCCTATGACCAACAGAAAATACTGTGTGTTTCTAGTGGTCCTTTGGCGACTCCTCTGATGTTCCCTCGTGACCGCCCCCCCCAGGGATCCCGACCCCCAGGTTGAGAAACACTGATCTATGACATGAAAAAAAAATCCCCAAAGCAAACTTTGACTGTGCTATTTTATATAAGAGGCGCCATTCTATATACATTCTAAATACAGCTCAGTCCCATATACTGTGAGTCTGTTGGGACTTAGCTACAGGACCTCTTACAGATGCCAAGTGCCATATTATCTTCAACTTTATAGGCTGAATCTTTGCCTAGTAATACTACTAAAACATCTTTTGAAAGGTTATAATTTCTTGCCTACTTGTCCTTCTCCTCTGCCTTCCTCAGACATGACCAAAATGCATTGGTTGCTATTCAATGAATCATGCATTCTCTGGATTATTTTTTCCCTAGGAAACTGAAAGTGATGAAGATGGTGAAGAGATGCAAGAAATGGAGATGGTGATGGCTACAAATGAAAATCAGCACCTAGAGTCGCAGAGCCTAACATATGGGTCCATTCATTGCAAAGAGATGTCTGCATTTTCACAGGAAATTACTGTGGCAAATGTAAATGAGCTTGGAGAAGGAGGCCTGACAAGTATAAAATGAAATTCTCAGCTGTGTCTTGGCTTTTAGAAGGAAGGGCAGGGTGTCAATTAGGTAATTAAATAAATACAGTAATTCTATCAACTGGAAAATGAAGGCAGCATTTCTGGCTTGCTCAAAATGTGGACATGTTGAGAAAAGGATAAACTATCTAAAGTTTAGGGGTGATGGTTATACAACCCCTTTATGGTAATTTGTAGTTTTAAAAAAGCTTTCCAAACTCTGAAATGGTTAGCAGTTGAATTCAAAGTAGTAATATTCAAATAGGGATCTGGAAAACCCTGGCAATCCTTGAAAGCTCCTGGACGAGAAGACCAACAGTGGACAAAGTGGGTCCTTTTAACAAGGATGGGAGCCATGCAGCCTTGCCCATCTCTCAAAGGACTGAACCTCCTCCACAAAAAGCCTAAATAAATATGCTTTCCTCTGTAGTTTCTCCAAAATGGTGGTAGGGATTGACACAATGATGAGTGATGAGGAGTAGTGAAGCCTAATAAGTACAGAGTTTAGAAATGCAGATGGAGTGGTTCAAACTTCATAATTCGCTTGAAAATGGGGGACAGAAACCGCAAATGACCGGGGTGGGGGTGGGGTGGGGTGACTGGATGGTCTTTGGGGTCTACCTAAACTTAATGATTCTGTAAAAATGATGGTTCACAATTGCATGCAACCCATAAGCTGCATTAAGCCCATCTCGGTTCTATTAACTTCTTTTGTTCTTATCTCTCACCAGCAATCAGAATTAAAAGCCTTTTTAAAGCCTAGGACCTTTTGCATGGAACTGATCTCTGGTTTGCATCTCAGGAAGCTATTGTCCAAGACCTTACTCTTGAATTAATAATAAAATACTAAGTTTGTGGTTTGCACGAGGTATATTTAGTGGAGGAAATGCAAATATGGAAGAATTACACCTGCCCCCCCTCCCCCAACCCAGTTTGATACCACTTTAACTGCCATTGCTCAATGCATTGGAATCATGAGAGATGTGGTTTTACAATATCTTTACCCTTTTTGTGCCAAAGAGTTCTAGTGCCTCCCCAAATCCTAGGATTCCACAGCATCGAGCTATGACAGTTAAAGGGGGATCAACCTGCATTACTTCTATGGTGCTGATGCATCCCAAGTCAACTATGGCCAGGAGGAAATCTTGAGTGCAATTCTACAATTGTTATTCTTGGTTCAGACTTGGATTCCTTTTTTACTATATCAGTTATATAGTTGCACTATAAATGACATGGTAACATCATGTGGATTTTGAGTTTAAGGACAAGACCAAGAAAGCTCAAGTGCTTTCACCACAATGTAGACATGACAGTAGAGGGAGCTGTGGTGATGCAATGGGTTAAATCCTTGTGCTAGCTGAACTGCTGACCTGAAGGTCGGTGGTTCGAATCTGCAAGATGGAGTGGGCTCTCATCTGCCAGCTCCTGCTTCCCATGTAGGGACATGAGAGAAGCCTCCCACAGGATGGTAAAACATCTGGGAGTCCCCTGGGCAACATCTCTGCAGACAGCCAAATCTCTCACACCAGAAGCAACTTGCAGTTTCTCAAGTAATTTCTGGCATGATCAAAAAAGTAAAAGTAGAATCACTGCACTATAATTATATGGTTTGAAAGGGTATGACAGGGTCAAGAGGTCTGTTGGGTATCACAGACAGACTGTACATATCCCAAATATAAAATCTTCCTCAGGAGGCAAGCTGGTGAGTAAAGGATTTCCTAAAGTGGAAAATGCCCACAAAGACAGGGATACCAAATGTCCTTTAGTGGAAAATGAAACACCCTTGATTATGCTGGCCAGGGCAGATGTGAGTTGAAGTCCAAAGCATCTGGAGGGTAACAAACTTGAGAAAACTGCAAGTGGAATGTGATTTCCTTCCTTCCCGGGCAATATATAACTCTCCTGTTCTTTGCAGTTGCTAGCAATATATGTAATTTGGATAAATTGAACATTTAAATTGTGATGTATCTTAGCAATGAGGTTGTTCTAAGTCAGCATCTCCCTTGGATGTTGGCTCATAAATCTTCAGAGCAGATTGGCTGATCCTGGAAAATGGGCTGTGTCGAGAAGGAGTTACAGCGACTATCTATACTGACTTTGGGGTTCTAGGAGTTGTAGTTCAAAAAGGAATGTTTCCAGCTCTGCAAATTATGGATAATTCCCAAATGGAATTATCTTGAAGTGAGTGGCTTGACTTTGAAGGAGTGGGGATGGCCACGGCCGACAGAGAGCTCTGGTGTGGGCTGGTCCATGAGGTCACAGAGTCGGAAGCGACGGAATGAATAAACAACAACAAATTATTATGAAATAGAAGAATAACTAAAATCTCTGGTTCTTCTTTCATAGTGACTAATATAAGACATGTGCTATAATGAATTTGTTTTGAAATGCCAGAAGATCCTGCCCCCCCCCCCCACCAAGGTAATCTAGAATGCCTTTGACACTGAAAGATCCAAGAGAAGATAGAAGTATGTCCTCCTTTACATTTAAGAAGACATGTAGAAGATAAATACAGAACACATTCAACAAATGGATATACCATATTTCTTTGATTATAAGATGCCATTGATTGTAAGATGCTCATTTTTTGGTAACACCAACTGAAAAATATTCACCCATGATTCTAAGACATACCCCCATTTTAAAAAAGTGTATATTGGGGGGGGGGGGAGTGTGTCTTAGAGTCAAAGGAAGATGGTAATTTGGCATCTTACCACTGGAGTTTTATGCTGATAATATGTATAGAATTGGCAAAATTCGGAAATGGCTTGAAGCACACAGCAACAACAAAAATGAAATATATGTTGTTGTTGTTGTTTATTTGTTCAGTCGCTTCCGACTCTTTGTGACCTCATGGACCAGCCCACGCCAGAGTTCCCTGTCAGTCGTCACCACCCCAGTTCCTTCAGAGTCAATCCAGTCACTTCAAGGATACCATCCATCCATCTTGCCTTTGGTCGGCCCCTCTTTCTTTTTCCTTCCATTTTCCCCAGCATAATTGTCCTCTCTAAGCTTTCCTGTCTTCTCATTATGTGGCCAAAGTGCTTCGTTTTTGCCTCTAATATCCTTCCCTCTAAAGAGCAGTCGGGAATGAAAATATATAGAAAATATATAGAAAATATATAGTGAGACATGTAACGCTCTCAATCAATTTCACCACCAGATGGCACTAGCCAACAAGATCAAATTTGAACAGCTCTTTCAAGTTAAGTTGCTCAAGAGATGAGAAAAAGGAAGCATTGCCTAGGACAGTCCTGAAGCATAGCTGGGCAAAGTTACGATAGCAGTAATTTTATTATGGCCAACTAAATACTATATCAAGTTAAGGCAATGTGGATATGGAACATTTACCACTAGATGAAGTTTATTTTCTCATACCAGACAGGGATTTTGCACGGGAGAGAGGGAGGTTGCATTCCCTCTAACAACTAGAAGATATTACGCAATTTTGGTTTGAATTAACCTTTTAACATAGTGAACGATCTAAATTTAATATCTGGCTTTATTAAGATAAAGACTATATAATGCTTTTATTTCTGTTTTCTGCCTACTTACAAATTTGTTTTTCACTCAAGATGAGAAAATGAACCAGATTCTGTCCAGTTTACAATTCATCTGAATGTTTTGAGGAAAGGGGGCCTTTCATTCCAAATTCCTAGGTATAACCTGATGCCAAATGCACATGGAAGTATATATTTCATTCCTTTCTCAAAATGCATTTTGAAACTGTATCTAAAATTCAGGGTGTATTGCCGCGAATTGACAGAAAAAGCAATTCAATACACGGTAAGGTTATGTAGTAATTACTGTATTTACAAATTTAGCACCAAAATATCACAATGTAGTGAAACAGCTGTGAATCCGGGCCAGAGGCAGATTACATTGGATAATACAGAACACTGAATGGGCAAAGATTGGATAAGCAAGACTACTGTAGATAGATAGATAGATAGATAGATAGATAGATAGACAGACAGACAGACAGACAGACTGTTTTTTTTTCACTCTCCAGCTTTCACAATCATGTATAGACGTTTGATATCCAGTAGTATGCATGGTCCTAACTAGCATCACCCTACATTACTGCTGCCGCCCAGTAGATGCTTGGAATATGTAATCTGACTCCTTTGCTAAAGTATGACATGAAATTTATTTATTATTATTTATTTACTTCATTTATATACTGCTTTTCTCAACTGAAAGCAGTTAACAACAGCAAAAATTCAATGCTAAACATCATAAAAACAATTAAGGGTAAAACAGTAGCGTAATAAACAATTAAGCATCAATATAACAAATCATTAGCATCTCATTAGTAGAATCAAAATCCAATCTCATCATCCGTTATTCCGTGTTCCTATATTCATTACACTGCCTAATCAAATGCCTGCTCGAACAACCAGGTCTTCACTTTCCTCCAATATCTGTAGGAAGGGCGTTCCACAGCCAAGGGGCCACCACTGAGAAGGCCCTATCTCTCGTCCCCGCCAGACGTGCCTGTGATGCAGGTGGGACCGAGAGCAGGGCCTTCCCGGATGATCTTAATATCCTAGCTGAAAGATCCTGCCTCTTACCTCAGGAGCACACAGTCCGTCCGTCCCCACCACCATGCCAAAAGATAGTGCCATTGGTGGGTTTCTTACACTGGCATATATAAAACTTATTCTTACTGTTAATACTTTAAGTGTATTTACTTTTTAATCCAACTTCACTAACTTAAAACCCATCTCCAACCTTCTCTTTCTCTCTGTGTGAGCGTTTCTGGCTAACCCTCCATGCATCTGGTATAGCTATAGTGCACAAAAGTTTGTGGTGTGATACATTTGCTTTCTGTTGAGACCTGCTAGGATACTTCATTGTTGTTGCTGCAAGATACTAATACAGACAGCCCTCTGGAAATTATTGCATCCATATCAAAAAAACAGATGACTATTTTACAGACATCTGTGAAGAAACATGCTTTTGTGGAGAAGGATGCTGTTGCTATGGAGCACTATATCTTACAGGGATTGCAAGCCTTGCTGAGCATAAATCCTCTTTGTTAAAGGCACGCAAGAGTATGAGTCTGGCAACCGACAAGTTATTAGGTTCCTAAAGGGATTGCATTTATAATCCAGAGCAAGCAAGTGAAATCTATTTTTTTAAGTTGTCAAGGTTTGAGTCAGATATATTCTTATCATTTTGTCCAAATGTTCTTCCCTCTCTGAGAACTTGGCATCGATGGGAATAAGAGTACTTTATCTGAACTATGATAAGAGCTTTGTGTCAGGGCATAGTTTCACATTTCTAGGGAGAAAAAAAAGCTCCAGATAGGTCTAAGGGATCACTCTTAAATACCTCCTAGGTTAAATGGTGAAAAGCAAAGTGTTTTCTCAGAATTGCTTGCTTTGTTGTAATCATTTTACTGTCTTCCTGTGTCTCAGTTTTTCAGGACTCAGAGTGCATAGTCTGACATGGTAGTTGTTAGAGTGGTCCAGCATTTCTGTGTTCTCAAATAATATGT